CATTTTTTGCACAAGAAGAGATCTTTTAACAATGCCAGGCTGGGTAGATAGAAAGGACTGAGCAAAATTGTGAGGCGAGAAGGAAAATGTAAAGAGAAGGTTACAGTACCCAAGGGATTGAGCAGGGGGAATACCAAGGAGAAGGAGTGCACATTTATAAACACAACAATCTTGCTATGTAAAGCAGGATTATGGATTCTTTCATTCCTTTCACATCTAAATAGGAAGAAATGTTAAACCTCTGACTATGGGAGTGAACTCAATGGGTGAAATTCTCTGGCTATGTTATGTAAGTGGCCAGCATGATCATAAGATTCCCTTCTGGTCCAAAAAAAAAAAATAAAAAAATCTATGACATTTTCTTACTATTGAACATAACCTCCCCCTGCTCCCCCCTCCCCCCACACCATGAACACAGTTTGGGATCTGTGAACTCAGTACACTAAGGGCTATTCAAGATAATTAACATGCATTTCTACTTACATTTCTTCTAAAGAACTGCAGCCCTTAAAACTTGAAAGCTCTTTTATATTATTATAAGACAAGTCCCTTAAAAACAGACAATGGGAAGAGAAGGGTTAGTTTAATTCTGCTCTATTTGAGAAGTTACTTTACTACAGCCACAAATTAAATACAAATCAACATATAAACTGTCCTTCTACCACAGTTCTAGATAAGAACTGAAAACCGTTTAAAGGCACACAAAAGTCAGGAGATTCACAGCTATGCTCTCCACAGCAACCAGCCCCCTCTGTGTGTACTGACAATACATATCAAAATGTATGAAAAACAGCGTAAAGGTTGCCAAGTCAAGTTCAAGAGTGAGGAAATGCCAGAACCAAGGTTGCTCATACAGTATCTCTAATCCATACCCAGTACTTTAAGCACAAGAAAATGTAGTGTCTGTTCTTGTAACATTGACAAACTCACCTATTTTTCACTCTCACTCTCTGAAATGGCTAAACTATTTTAACTTGAGACTTTTCAGAAATATTTAGCTTTAGACAAACTGCAAGCATCAAAAAAATAGACCAAATAGATAAAGTTTAGCAAAATGAAAGTTTGGCAACTAAAATTATATAATGAAAAATGTCAAGCAAGTGTTAATTGGAGGTGGTGCTATTAGCTCTGCATACAAGAGTGCACAAAACAAGGTCAACTTATTCACTCAGTAGGAGTATAACTACTGTATAAAGCCTTTCAATTTTGAGACTTCAAAATTAAATGAGCATTTTTTTCCACAAGAAACTGAAGAGTGACCTCTGACATGTCGAGTAGATGCAGGTTAGTTGTAAGGGTGAAGATTGCTCCCCATCCAAAGCTGGTAAAGTTTTCAGATTTCGGGGGAGGGCAGAGAGGGAGGAGGACAGGACAGGGTGGCAAAAAAAGGGGGCTGAAGACAACCAAACTGCCATTAACCAGAGAATCGAAAAGGTAAAGGTTGAGAGAAGCACAATGCTGTGCTGTCTTTTCCTTCTATCAAAGAGAAGACCTATCCCCCCTCCAGTCTTTCAGTAAGAAGAATTTATCCTTTGTGATCATCTTTTCCCCACTCTTCCAATTTGCTCTCTCTCCATCATTTACCTTTGCCTTCTGTGTGCATGCTTGCTCTCTCATTCACCTTACCATTCTTTCCCTCCTCCGCTATTTTCTATTCCACATTGGTCTCCTTTCCTCTACCACAGCATTTATAGGGGTTGATGAGTGTGCTCTAGAGCGTGAGTGGGTGGCACAATGAAACACAATTGCTGTTACACTGATATCCTTACAGGAGTGTAACTTCCTCAGGTGAAAAGTCTCAGAGGAGTAGCTGTGTTAGTCTGTAACTGAAAAAAATTAAACAACGAATGGTCCTGAAGCACCGTAGAGAGACTAACAAAAAATGTTAGTTCATGTCTGTTCAAACCTTGATTAAAAAGTGTCATGTAAACCACCGCATCAGAAGCTCATACAACCGCACATCCACTAATGTGATCTAAGCAATCAAGTGCCCCTCTGCCATGGATATTGGGCAAACTGGACAGTCTCTATGACAACGGACCCAAATCAAAATGATACCACACCGAAACCTGTTGGGGAACATTTTAACTTGCCCAGGCATTCACTAATGGATCTAAAAGTAACCAAACTCTTACACAGCAATTTCAAAAACCAGCTGGAGACAGAAGCTCTAAAAAACTTGCCTTCATTTGCAAATCTAACACTTTTAATCAAGGTTTGAACAAAGACATGAACTGATGGGCCACTATACTCAACACCCTAAAATCATCAAAAGCTAAGTATCAGGTACTCCCAGCCCACACTATTAGGCTCATTTAGCACAGACATTCGAACTGGCAATTTCCCCCCCTCTCTTTCCATTCCCATGCCCTTTTTTTCTACTATTTATTTGTACCTTTGGACCCCTTGCTCCATTCATCTGAAGAAGTGGGTTGTGCCCACGAAAGCTCAGGATACCATCTACATATTTTGTTAGTCTCTAAGGTGCTGCAGGCCATTCATAGTTTAAGTTTTTCCCTGGTGAAGAAACACTACATACTTCAGTAAATGCACCTCTTTCAGGAGTGCAAGTGGTCCATTAACACACTACTTTGTAGCATCAGGACTTCAGATGAGTCAAAGAGGGATCAGACATTTGAACAATTTTGAGACCCAACAACTAACTTTGAGAGCGTGTCTTTGAGCAATGATACTTTCTCTATCAAATTATTTTTAGCATCAGTAAAACAGGATCAGGAAATTGTCACTTACAAAGTCTGAAGCATCTTCTGTTCTTGACACAGGTTAATGGGAATACTGCTTATTTTGGTGCCTGTAAGAGTCCTGTGTTAAAAACAAACATACATATATGTTTCAATGCTCAAACAGTACATAGAAGATCTCAAATGTAGGACTGGGAAGAAACATCAGAGGGCTTCTAGTCTGAGCCCCTGCATGCTGTCAGGGCCAATTAAACTCCTCTGACAGGTGTTTGTTTAATCCGTCTTTAAATATCTTCAGTGGTGGGGATTCCACAACCTCCCTAGGTAACCTAGTCCAGTCCTTAACAGCCTTTATAGTCATAATTTTTTCCCTAATTCCTCAACTTTGGTGCTTCTTGTCCTACTGAACTGTGGAAAACAACTGATCATCATCGCCCTTATAACAGCCCTTAACATATCTGAAGACTTGTCAGGTCCCCCAGTCTTCTTTTCTCAAGACTAAACATGCTCGGTTATTTTAATCTTTCCCAGAAGTCACATCTGCTAAACCTTTTATCATTTTTGCTCTTCTCCTCTGGACTCTCTCGAACATACCCATGTCTTTTACCATGCGAGGCACCCAGAATTGGACACAGTACTCCAGATGAGGCCTCAAAAGTCAGGGGAATACCCACAGATGGGGCGGGGGATTGCAGCCCACACATTTAGCATCTAGGCTCACCTGCCCCCAACCCCGGCTTCCAAGCTTTGGTTCCTCCAGGGCACAGGGGCTTGGCCCTCTGTACCCAGTACTCGACAGAGCCCAGAGCTCAGGGCTGACAGCTTGCCACACCCCAA